TTTATGTTCTCGGGGATGACGGCCGCAAAACAGCTTTTGCTTTTTGGAGGACAAGCAGAATCGATTCTCTTGGGCTTTTTCTGCTTCCGCTGCCGAGATTGCGATTGAGAAATGTTGTCGTCTGCTGAGCCTAAGAAGTAATTGGAAAAGGGGTTTTCGTCGTCGTCGTCGTTTTCGTCGTTGTCGGTTGAGTCGTCTTGTTGATTTTCGGCGAAATGTTGGTGGAGCAAGTCGTAGATTTTGACTCGGCCAATGGTTTTGCGGCCGAAGAGCGAGTGGAGGGTGTCGTCGCAGACGATTCTCTTCTTCTTCGTGGGGTGCTGAAGCTTGTGTTGATTGACGTAGTCGGTGATGATGGAGGCGACGTCGTATTGCGAGATTGGATTGCTGGTGTCTCTGCCAATCGATTCCAGAAACTCAAAGAGCCGCCTGGAGCCCCACCCGGTAAACTCCACTAGTTTCTTGGACCGGACCCGTTTGATTTGTCGGAACGGAGTCGAGTTCGGATCCGGGTTCGGAGTCGTATCCGAGTTCGGAGTCGGATCCACCGTCCAACTGAATGAACAATCCATCAATCAAATCAAAACCACCTTCTTGTTCTTGTACCTTGAGCAAAAACGCTCACAGACTCGCTCACTCACTCACACATAAGTGAAGAAGAAACTGAACAATGATGACGTTTGCCAGTTAAACGCTTTTACCCTTATTCAGGCACACCTGGCTGCCCACGTCACCAACAAATCGCCACATGTCTCTTCTTTTCAGCTCCTCTTCAATTAAATTAAATAAATAAATTTGAATTTCCGAAGAACACTTTCTTTGTTTGTTTGTTTGTACAGTCAATTTGGTATCTATTTGGTACAAGTGGAATCAATCCAATAGAGGGCGGCCTCGTCGGAATCAATCTAGTCAGCTGCATGCAACCGCCTTCCTGAAAAGACCCACCTTTTTTCGGTTTTTTCTTTCCTTTATGGGATTTTTCCGACAATGTAAATGTTTTTTTTTCTAATGCAAAAAGGAGAATTACAAACTAAAATCTCGCGAGGACGGAGGTCAAAAGAGGTCAAAAGAGGTCAAAAGAGAAAGCTGAGGAACAGAATGAGGGAATGTGGTTTCGATTTGAATGGGGGGAAATGTAAATTTGAATTATTTTTTTCTTTTATTAATTTTTGTTTTGTTTTAAGTTTTTTTCCCAAAAAAATTGACTTCAATTTTTTAAAGTAACTCGCTGGATTGTAAAACAAATTTAATATGAACTGTGTTGGTTTCTTATCACGTATTTACATAAAATCTGAGAATCCGAACAGATTTCATCTCACATCATTATTATTTCTTATTTGCTCACAATTCAAAATCTAACATGATAAGATTGCATCTCATCTTCAACCGTTGGATTGGATTCTCTTATCTCAATCTCAATTGTCAAAATCTTATCTCAAATATCATCTATGTTTATACCATATTTGACCGGCCAATTACTCTGCGACATGTGGAACATGGGACCTTCAAAGAGGGTCCACAAAGACTAGTGAAGTACTAAGGCCCGTGAATTACCATCGAGTAGGTGAGCCTTCGGCAACCTATCCTGCCGATCCGACTGAAGAAGGCGCCTCACAAAGTTATCACTTACATGGACACATGGCAACCTCTCAGGAAATGCCCAAAGTCCCACATTGATACACAACTCGAGGTGCACACACCCCAAGAGTTTATAAATAGGAGCACAAGTCCCCCCAAAAAAGATAATAGTAACATTCGGCTACTTAGCCCTTAATCTATCAAATCATTATTCACTCCGTTCTTAAAGCTAACTTAAGCATCGGAGAGCCTTCGACTGATACCACACCAGTACCCAACGTCTTATCGTTTGCTATATGTCTAGTTGATCGCCCACGTCTACCGAAGAGCTTGAAACCCGAGACTATTAGCACCACTGGTCATCGTCATCGACAACGTTAATAATTATCAAAAAATTTAAAAAACCCAAGTCTGTTAACCATCGGTAACAGACGTTGGTAATAATTAGCACGTAGCCTATTTTATTGCCTTAACTATTAGCCATCGACAATAGGATAATAAGCATCACATGCAAACACTATTATCGACGATTAAATTCGCATAATCATATGCATAAAAAAAAAACAAGTTCCTCCGTCAGGCCTTCCGACAGAGGCGACATCTCTCCCATGAAGTTCCGATTTGGCTTCTGGCCTGGGTTGAAGTGCTTGAACCTATAAATGCGATATTGCTTCTTTTCTTTCCTTTTATGTAAGTGATTATTAACCGTTAATTAATGTGAATCTCATAGCAAGTCTCGCATGAATCAGCAGTTCACGTTTACGCCATACACGTGGATATTATTAACTCATAATCAATGAATCTTACAGCAACAGGTAAACCCCTGCCCAGCTCAAACAGCTCCTACTGGAATGAAGGTTCAGTTATTGATTTCCATAAATTAATATAATAGTTTTAACTTTTTGTTTTCTCTTTTATACAAGAACAAATCCGTAACCTTTTGAACGCCCAAAAGCACAAAATGAGCTCTCCATATCAAAATGGTCTAGCAGATACAAGTTTACTGTAACTAAGACATGTAAAAATAGTTTACTGTATATTTTTTTTATAAAAGAAAACAAGAAAACACAATATCAAAAGAGTTCCAATAAAGTATTTAAATAAGAGATCCTGATAATGTAATAAAAGACAGATTCTATTGCAGGTTCATTTTTCAAATATTGTGGCTACATAACTGATCATGTTAAGTTTATCAAATAAAAGAAAACTACCAAGAAAAAGTTACCGCATCAAATTCTTAAAACTTCTTTAGGATCATATCTTATCATCATTGTTCCAGGAAACAGTATCAATGAAGACCAAAAGATGCTAACTTATCCAAGGAAATTCATAATCACCAAGTGCAGCACCAAGTTGCAGAGAACAAAATCTGCAAAAGCCCGTTCTGGAGGTAAATCCTGCAGTTTTACAAACAAACACTGATCAGGACGAGGATGGAAGAGGATAGGTCAAGGTGGGCAAAATAACATTACCAACATTGTCAATTCCTTAATACATGATGAACAAGGACCATCGGAAACGAAAACTGGTTTAGAGCGCACAAACTTCCCACAACTCACAATTTGTGAATCAGACAGAAGGACAAAAAACAAACAGAGTTTACCTTAAATTCTTTGTTTTCTTTGTTCACTTGAATACGGAGACAAACTGCAAAAGAAGTAATCAGTTTCCAAGTTAACCTCCTCATGTCCAATATGAGCTTTCACCCAACAAAGAAAAAACTACATCTTCCCCTTACCAGCAAGGACTGCTGTCCCTGTACAAGAGAGTACTCCTGAGAGAAATGAGTTAAATGGGAATGATCCGACAATAGCCATGTAAACTACCTGTTCATCAACAAAGTAGATAACTAAATCAAAGATTAAAGAAACCATACCAAATTGCAACAAAGGTGGCTTCCACCATTCATGGGTTATGATTGTAGTAGTTAATGCACGATGGGATCATTGGATATAGGTGGAAGAATATGTTGAAGTGGGCTAGGAGGGGAGAAAAGAGTGGACACGGTGATCAAGAATGACAAAATTGATCCACGAATGTGAATCCGACAGGTTGGTTTCCTTCCAATAATTTATGAATGAGATTATCATATTCTCACAATTCAATTAAATGTCATATCTAAAATTATCCCTTTTGTGGATGTATAAGATGCATTTTGTTGGACTCTTATTTTTTTTTAGGAATTATATGTAGACACCAACACTAGAACATCAAGCCTCGAACATATGTCCTTACAAGTTTTCTTCTTCATTTTTTTCTGCGGAACCTCCAAACACCAAGTAATTAATATTTCTCCCCGTTAGATTCTTCAAATCCGTTGGTATATTAAACCAAATGGAGCTTCATAAACCTCTTAAAGGCAATTTGTTGAGTCAACGCAGCTTCCATAAACCATGTATTAAAAATTATGTTAACAACATTCACCAAATAGATTCATGCACAACGGTGCCTTGTGGAATGCAAAACTATGTACATAATCAAACCGGAAGGCGTACAGACTCATGACAGAAAAGACTGAGGCTCAGATAACTATACATTTATATTCAAAAAAGAATAAGATTTCACTGATCCAAGCTATTCATATTGATCTAACTAAATAGTAAGGAGTTCAAATGGAAAGGCAGGTCAAATTGCAAACCTATCCAAGAATCCAAGATGCTTTCCCTTCTCCCTCTTTGCTTTTGTTTTTTAGTTTTAAGAGTAAATCAAAATGAGGCATTTCAATTCTGCATCTTGACAATTGCCCAAATATTTTGCGCACCCAAACAGAGCAAATTAAAAAAAAATTATAAACATACAAAAACAGAGAAAGGAAAATCGAGATCATGGGAGTACCTGGATGAGAGCTGTGGACACAGCGAAACCAACATAGAGATCAATGATCTGCAAATTTATAAAAGAAAATGACAAAGTGGGTTAAGCATTTCTTATCCTTATTTAGTGAATTCTCAGAGAGAGAGGAGAGAGAGACCTTGAGACTGGTGGGAGTGGCAGAGTAAGCTAAGCGCAGAGAACTGAAGAGGGCAAGCGCGTCCTTGGTCGTTGACGATGTCGATGCTTTCCCCATTTTATTTCTCTTCCTCTACACTTCACTACTTGGTCGTCGTCGGCTGGTTTCTGAGTTTTAGATGGATCGAATACTTGACCACTCTGGTCAACCAGCCCTTGGTTAGGGACATCATCGTCATTTTGAATAATTGTAAAAGAATCGGGTAATTGGGTTGGGTGGGCTGCTTCAGTCTTCCCCAGTCACCACCACTACGCAACCCAACTTCTCATCTGCATGTGGCAATCAATCGTATTCATGTCCGGAGAGAGAAGTCCAAAACAAAGTCGGCTGAACTGCATCATGCATTTACCATTGACTGTTTTTCTTTTTTCTCTTTTTGATCGAAAGTTCTTGTTGAAATGAAATCTCTTGATTTTATATGCAAATGCAAGCTTAACAAATATTATTATGTTTCTTTGATATTACAATCCATCCATCCATCCTCTTGCAGATTGACTGTTTTTCTTGCTCATAAACACAAGTGTGGCGGCATCTCCACATTTATCCAACCATGTGCTACAGACTGTTTCATGAAAACTCCATAACAGCTGATACATTTTGTGCATCATAAAGCAATACAAATACAGAGCGACCAAATATCCTCTCTCGCATGGCTTAAGTAAATGGAAAATAACTACACTTTTCAGTGCGCTGTGAAGGCTAGCTAAAACATAATAAAGTAGAGATACTAGAAAGAAAGCAAAGTACAAGTCCATCTCAACCACATTGTCTGCCTTACAACGCAAATGCTGGCATTCTGCATCCTCAATTTTATTTTACCACGCAGATCTTAATAACAGAGGCGACTCCAATGCGATGAAGTGCCACTACTGCATCACCAAGCTTGCACAGTCCCCTCTCTGTTGCTGACTTGAGAGCAGCTTCCAGGATCACCTCCGTGGATTCCGCATCAGTAGCTTTCGCAGATCCTTCAGCCAATAGAGGAATCAGCCCCCTGTAGATCAGGCTATGCCTTGCCGGGGTCTCATCACTGCAGCTCCAATCAAATGCGTCTGTTGTCAAAACTGGAACAACCACCGACAGGATAGGAACTGCTGGCCTGTACTTGGCCACCAATTTGGCTGTGCTCCCACCACGTGTCAACACAACAATGAGTTTGGCTCTGGCCTTGTTGGCTGTTCGGACAGCAGAGGATGCAAGACTCTCCAACGGGCTCATTGGAAGTGGTGTCGACTTTATCATCTCCTTAAAGATAGCCCCGTAATCAAGGGAAGATTCTGCCTCAATACATATTCGAGCCATGATCTTCACAGCAAGTTCCGGATAGGACCCAGCTGCACTCTCACCACTAAGCATGACACAATCAGTGCCATCAAGGACAGCATTAGCTACATCTGTGGCTTCAGCACGGGTTGGCCGCGGAGACTTGATCATTGATTCAAGCATCTGAGTGGCAGTGACCACAGGCTTCCCCACAAGATTACACTTATATATCATCATTTTCTGTGCCAGGAAGATTTTTTCAACTGGGATTTCCATTCCAAGATCACCACGGGCAACCATGAATGAATCAGTCTCACGCAATATATCATCAAAGTTGATAACTCCTTCCTGGTTCTCAACCTTTAGAAACCACAAGAAACACACATTCACTTGTTAACTAATGAAAATAATATCCAGTCTACTATCAATAAATCCATTAGTTTATTTGCTATGTGTGTGTGTGTGAGAGAGAGAGAGAGAGAGAGAGAGAGCATGCAGACACAAAACAAAACACAAAAACCGAAAAAAAAAATAAAGCTGCAGGTCATCTTAGTATATCAATGCCTGGATAATTAAACATTGAAATGGCACATACCTTTGACATCAATTGTATGTGCTTGGCATGGGGTCCAAGAACTTTACGGACATTAACAAGATCTGATCCCTTGCGTACAAATGAAAGAGCAATCATATCAATATTGTTGGGCACACCCCATTCCAGAATATCTTCCTTATCCTTCTCTGTCAGTGTAGGAAGATCCACGACGACACCAGGAAGATTGACATTTTTTCTCTCACCCAGCATTGCAGTGTTCTCACATCGGCACCTAACTGCACCAGCTGCTGGATCACAAGACAATACAGTGAGGGAAATGGTACCATCTGCACATAAAATGGTATTTCCAGGCTTCAAGTCCACAGCCAGCTTCTTGTAGCTCATGGAAATCATCTCTTGGTCCCCCTTAATGTCGTAATCAATAGTAATGGTGATTTCCTGCCCTTCCTTAAGTTGAATAGATTTGCCACCATTGAGGAATCCAGTACGAATCTCAGGCCCCTACAAAAAAGAAATGGCAAATTCATGGTTAAACAATTCTAATTAGCGGTACTTCAAGCATAAGTATGACATGTTCAGAAGTAGCATTGGTGTCGAGCATAACGGGGCAGAGGATCTTGGTGTTGAGCATGACGGCGCATGAGTATGACATATTTAAGTAAGTAGCAGAAGGGAAATGTGAAATGAAAAAAAGGGTAAGGAAAGAGACAGACCTTGGTGTCGAGCATGACGGCGCAGAGGATCTGGGTGTTGTGCATGGCAGTGCGGAGATTGTTTAGGGTCTCCTGGTGGTAGTCGTGGGTCCCATGGGAGAAGTTAAAGCGGGCGACATTCATGCCAGCCCTCAGCAGCTTCTCCAACATCACCACCGACCGGGAAGATGGGCCCAACGTGCACACGATCTTTGTTTTGGGGATACGCCCATCGTTGGGCAGATCCTTCATTATTCCCCCGATGTCTATGTTCGCCATTCACTTGGATTGATTGATTGATTTCTAAGATCTTTGATAGATTTTTGGATTGGATTGGAAACTCTTTCTTTCTTTTCACCTACACCTTCAAAAAATGAGAGAGAAACTCAGTCTAGCTATCTGTTATGAAGCTAAGCTAGCAAATAAGTGATGTAGTAGTCAGTTGCACCATATTTGACTATGCTGGACAGTTCAAAGTGCAAACTAATTCTTTATTGTTGATATTAAAATTTTCATTAATTGAATATGATAACCTCTTATATGTTGTCAGTTATTAATGTACTGATAACTATGGCATTCCCAAGGTTAAGAAGGAGAGAACTTTCTATGAAAGTATGTCTTTTACTTTCGTTCAAATTTATTCAGAGTAGAATGGTGGAAAATGATTTATGCAAGAAGGTTTAATACAGCTTCTAAAACCAACTTCTACTGGCTACAATCATTCATATGGTCATTAATTTGCATTGTATTCGGCAGATAACAGACTATTTTGTCTGTGCCTGCTATGCCAAGAATAAAAAGCAACAGATAAAATAATTTACACTACATAAATCTAAAACCCTTCGAAGAACACAACATTTCAAGTTTTACCATTGCAGCTGCTGTATGATGATTTTCAATTCTTTCTTCTCTTATCAAGAATTGATTTCAATCCGCAGCATGAAACTCTTCCCAGAAGAAAAGAGCATCGCAAAGGTTAGAGCTAATGGCAGCGATAGCACGAGTTTCACATTTTCTTTAGCGAATTGAGGATTGTTTTGGCTAAGCCACTAGTTCAAATACCTGATGACTGAAATGCCTAACTGAAGCTGGCAATTCCATGAATAATCCCAAGGCAGTTCAATGAGGGCTGTGATAATGTTATGATGATACCAATGATCATAAATATCTTAATCTCCCCAACTTATGTGAATATCATTTATAATGGAGGTGAGGGTCCAGAAATACCAACATTTATTTTCTTTAAAAAAAGTCATAAACACTAATATGTAAAACTTTAACATTTGGATGAAGATGATGAAAGAAAGAAAATGGGAAATGCAGTTTCAGTTCTTAGTATTATGATTCCACATAATTCTACCAATCAAAAATTTGACCCTTTCGATTCGATTTTGAGATTTGATTCAGAATGGTAAAGGGATAAATATAGGCAAAGAGAATTAAATGGCTTAACCGCTCAAGAGATGATATTAAACGGACAAAAGATGGGTGCCCATGATAAAACCTGCCTTCTACCTTGACTCAATATCTCAAGAACAACACTGTTACTATTTCTTTAACTAAGACAAAATACAATTTCTCTTAAACCAATCTGAGTAGTCTGTCTTTGGGGTTTGTCCCCCCGTTTTCACCCCGAAAAAAACATTACAATTTCTCTCAACAACCCTTACAATACAAACTCTCTTGACTGATATAGTGCTAACCCAAACCAAACAAACCCTCAACTAACCCTAGCCTAACTGATGTTTAACAAACTAACCATAGCGCCAGCTCATCAAGTCAACTTCATCAACTTAGATATGGATTCCTATCAGTCCATACCAAAGCAGTAGATAAAAAAAGATGCAAGAATCTGATACAGAGCATAAGCACAAGTCACTAATAACTTAATAAGAGTAAAGAAAAAGGCAGCATGAAGATGAAAACCAAACAGCCAGAGATCCAAGGTTTCTTACCACAAATTCGTCAACTGGGAAAAATCCAGAAGCCAAAACAAGAGAGATCTTTGAAAACTGTGGTAGTCTACAGAAACAAGGCACAAGAAGAAAGGCAGAGAACAAGTAGACCGAAAGTAGCACCGACAGTAATTTGTACGGAGTAGAGTGTGATAATTAGACAGAATATGCTTTTGGGAGTGGCAGAGAGACATGCGATAGATAAAGCTTTGAAACGCCAACAAACACCACACCACACCACCCAACCCACGTGGGCACCCACCGCATTTGTGCACCCACTCTCAGCAGCTTCCCCGCAGACGCTCGCTAGCCATGCGTCCACTTACAAACTGTTTGGGCCAAAAAATAAAAACGTGCCCATTGAAAGGTGTTTTGAAATCTTTGATAGGACTTGGGCCACTTGTTTTTACTAGAAGGGAAGTTGGGTTAAAGACAGGCCCAAGTCTCCATCAACCCAATTGGATTTTACTCTACCAGGACTATTAACCACGAGCCTAAACGACTTTACCCGGGAAAAGGCGCTTCACTCAAAAAGGAGACTCAAGTTGACTTTGACAACTGAAAAATTTCAGGTGGCGAAAGAAGAATTGAGCAACCGCATTAAATGTGATTTGAGCCATGAATATCTACTAAGCCAACTTGTCAGTCCTTCTGTGGTGCATCGGGTGCACCGATACAGCCCATCACTTGAGGTTTTTTTTAAAACAAGGGAAACCTGCTGACTTGGTCAACAGGCTGATGTGAACAGGGGAACGATTTCACGTTCACGCTCACTCGACGTTTTTCTTCCTCAAACTGATAATCTTTTCTGCAACTTCAAACTTCAAACTGATAATCTTTTCTTCAACTCCTCCTGCAGAAAGTTTCTTCCTCCTCTCTGCAACCTCTCTCTCTTCTTTGTCAAAAACCCCTTATTCTAGGGTTTGGATTTTGGGGAAAATTTGAGGGTTAGTATTTCGGGTTGATAATAGGAATTGGAAATCAGTATTTCCAGTCACTGCGTTGGCACTCCTCTCATCTACAATCGAGCCCTTCTCAAAGCATTTCGTAATAGTTCCTTGTGAAGGTAAGTCAACACTATGTTTTATTTTATTGTTAATTGAAATTCTGTGGTGATGACTTGGGGCAAGAGGGGAAGTAGGTTTCTCACATTAATGAGATGAAGTGGGTTTCTCATTCTGAAAGTGTCGTGAGGTGAAGTGGGTATCTCACATTCATGGTTGTAATGTTCATGCAATTGCATATCTGTATATGCAATTACTAATCTCCTGTATGCAAATCCAAGTCACTGAATGCAATTACAGTATCTAGTTTAGTTTTCAAATTATGCAAGTGAGGTGATTTCGTGGTAGGTAGGTAGGTTTGACTGTGTTTTTGAATATTTTGTTATGGGGAGTAAAGTGTTCCGAAAGTGTAATGTTAGGATTGGTTAAGATTTGGATTGGGATTTGAAAAGAGTAAGAATCTCGGCCCAATAGAGAAATGCATGGGTGGGTTGTGTGCATTATCTGGCAATATTATAATCGAGGGCTGATGCACTTGCAAGTAGTGTCGTGCAATTGCATATCAGTATATGCAATTACTAAGCAACTGTGTGCAAATTCAGGTCCCCGTATTTTTATAATCAAGCAATGTGTGATGTTGTGGTGTTTACGGGGTTTAGGGGGTTTAGGGTGTATTAGGCTTTGGATTAGTATTCAAAATCTCGGCGCTAGAGACAATTGCATGACAGTGTTTTGTACTTGATTTGTGCAAGTTATGGAAGCTCAAAAAAGGGGATCAGCGAAAGGAAAAGCGCAAGGTCGAGAGTAATGTGCAACAATTAAGAGTTGGCCGAGATGCATTTTTTAATTTCATGTAAGTTACATGTACATCTAAAAATTGGAAATGTGGTTGCTTAATATTATGATGGTTTTTTGATTAAAAATAAATGATTTACAGGAAAAAAGAACGACTTGAAATGGGGAAAAGAGATAATGCAAAGTTGGACAGTAAGGTGAGAGATGGCTATTGATTGAGTCAATTTATTATTTATGTATTAAAAAGGCTCTTTTAATGAGAATTTTATTTTTCAGGTACAAGAAGAGATTGCGAACAAGTGGAGGAAATTGAACCCTACAGAGAAGGCAACATATGGTGCTGCCTTGGAAGGATCGAGTGGGAAAGTACAAGGTTCGAGTGGGAAAGTACAAGGTTCGACTGGGCAAGTAGACGACTCAGTCAATGAGATGGGTTTTATCACTAGATGCAGCCCGGACCGATTCCATCGTACGGTGGAAAAATTGTCGAATGAGAAGTGGTTAGCAATTAATGCTATTGGGTTTGGTAATATGGCATCATTGTCCTGCACTCATTTACACCGCCAACTATGCCAATTTTTGATTCAAAGGTTCAATCCTGATACGTCCTCTATAGAACTGCACGGCAATGTGTTTGGAATAGGTGCCGTTGAGTTTGGGCGTGTTATGGGGCTTAAGAACACCGGCGAGGATGTTCAACTGGACTGTGTTGTAGAAGATGAAAAGGTGAAACAGTTAGTGAAGAGTTTTGGTGGAAATGGCAAGAGAGTATTAGTAAAGGGTTTAGCAGAACAATTGGAAAAGTGCGAACATGTGGATGAGGACTTTAAAGTTCGATTCGTTATGTTTGCACTTGGCACTGTACTTTGCCCCACATCTTCACCATCAGTGATCGGGAACTATTTAACTTTCTTGACGATCCCAGGGAAGATAGAGACCAAGAACTTCGCCGACCATGGATTCAACTTCTTATGTGAAGGTGTTAGGTCGTTCCAAGCGAAGAAAGTTTCATATGTAAATGGGTCAGTGCTTTTTCTCCAACTATTTTATTTCGATTCAATTCTCCATGGTGGAGTATATGTTGATAAGTCTTTGGATCCCATTGTGTCATGGGACAATAAGTCGGTGTGGAAAATGATTCTATGGGTTAGAAAGCAAGGTGGGTTTGATAGTCCTACCGTTCGGGTTGTTTCAAAGCACCGTCCAACGAATGAAGTGTCCGGAGTCAACGTTGAAAGAATTGTTGAACAAGTTGCTATCAGATTGGCGCAGGTAATACAGGCGGAGGTGAAGCGATCAGTGTTGGAACTCACCGACAAGGTAATGAGTGAAATGAGATCCTTCATGAAAGACGCAAGACAACATCTTCATTCGGCACATGAAGATGTAAATGAAACTGAGGACGGGCCATTGAAAATTCGAGATCAAGGTGTTGAGAATGTTGTGAAGAAGAAAGGTGAAGAATGTAGCCAATTAAAGGAGAAAGGTGCAGTTGATGAAAAAAATCCTTGGACGCCATTACCGGATGGACAGATTTCAGTGAACCCGAGGTATGATGAGCGATTAGGAGTTTCAAGATCGAGTTTCTTGTTATCTTTTACATTTATTAAGTATGCATTTATTTACATAGTTGTAAAATACTTAAAATTTTTTTATTCCTAAATGTAATATTTGAATTCCCTTTTCCACAGTTGAAAATTGGCGTGGAAAAGAGGAAGTTCACAAAATCGGCCCGTGGTGATCATAGTGGCATTAAAACACGTCAAATGGCCGAAAGGCGTCCAGGGCTTCATTGTAGAGAGCCATGGGTTGACCCTTCAAACGCAAAAGGAAAGGCTGTGCAGAAGACGGCGTCTAAGATTAAAATTGGGCCTTTCAAATTAAAACCCGGGGACTTACAAGACTCCGATTTTGAGTTATTTAGTTATATTTTTAGGTCTAACAACCTTCCAAGGTAACTACTTACAACTGTTGAATTATGAAATCGACCAAATTCCTTATATGTTGTCGTGTACGTGAATTTAATTATACCAATTGCTTTCTTCTTCCGTTGTAGTGATGAAGTTATAATTCAAATTAAAAATGAACATCATGTCACGAGAAATGAGTTCATGTGCTTGAGGCCCGAAATGTGGATAAACGATCAAGTACTGAATGCACAAGTCTATTATCTACAAGAAAAGGGGTCGGGGAATTGGTACTTCCCCACATATATGTCGGTAAACATTCATCTTTTTCAAACTCTTATAGTTTGTGATTTAGTGAATGATTTTACGCTTACACTATATGTGAATGTAGGAGCAAGTTAATAATACAAGTGATGACCAACTTTTTGAATTGGGGGTCAAACTTAAAAGGGAAAATTCAAACCGGTTACGCCTTCACAAGTGCCAGAAGGTATAAATTTAAGTTCTTTTTTACAACATCTTTAGTGCACTTTTGTTTTGTGTGTTTTTCTAAGCGAGTCAGTGTGGTCCTAGATTTTCATTCCCGTTTACGATCGAGTTGGGAAGCATTGGTATTTGGTAGTTGTGCATATTGGTGATAAAAAGGTTGAAATATGGGATAGTCTCCCCGGTGCCAGATACAATGCAGGTCGTTATCAACTAGGGGAACGAATTGTAAGTTTAATTGACCTTATTTTGGTTTGTCTTTTTATTATCCTAACATCCGGACTAAGAATTGATTTGAATGGATTGTGTTGTAGATGAAAGTTCTGGACTACATGTACAAAGATGAGATTGTAAAATATTTTGAAAAGGGATGGCAGTTTGCAAAATTCAACATTGTGCGAACTGACAAGGCCCGCAAACAACAAAATGGATACGATTGTGGTATCTTTGTTATGAATTGGCTAGAAGATATTCAATGCACATCACACGGTTCAAATAAAGTGAGTCGGCATATATATCGTTTCATACTTTTGTCTTCCACGGCAGATATTTTTCTTAATCATTTCTTTGATTGGTTGTTTTTTATTTGCAGTTTCAACATGCAACTAAGTGGGTTCATGTTGCACTATCATTGCTGAAGAACCCAAACAACATGTGTCTAAAGGAAGTAAGGGAGTCCGCTCGAAGAGTTGTTGACGAAGAACTTGACAAGTTGGCTGAACAACATGGTCCCTTCATCCTTCATCATCCCATCGCAAGGAAGCCAAGGACATGCTCCCAGGCAAAGTAGAAAGTTTGACAGTAGGTCACATAGGGTTGAGGGTTAATGTAGTGCAATTGCATGTACTTATCTCTGTTTGCATGTGCTTATCTCTGTTTGCATGCGGGGACATTGTTTTTGCAATATATCATATACAATTGCATTTCATCACGGCCAATTGCACGTTATCTATTTCGTGTAATACATTGCACAAATGAGTTTTTTTGTTGCCAAAATGGGAACATTATAGCATATTTAGGGCCCAGACTTCATTTACGAGACAGGAGTGCCTAGTTCACTGATAATAAAGGTCTTCTAACC